TCTTATCTCCGTCTCTCTTCTCTCTCCCTTACTATAAACTGACAATTTATACCATTATCTATTACTGTCATTCATACGTTTTTTGACTGCCCTTACATATTACTAATGTCGTTTTTATGATTTTTTTTCTCTTAGGTGCCTTACTATAATCTACTATACTGATCGTTTTCATGACAGTTTTTTTTATGCCTTACTATACTATGTTGTTTTCTTTACTTTTTTTTAGGTTCCTTACTAAACTATGACATTTTTTGTGCCTTACTGAACTTATGTCGTTTTTATGACTTTTTTTATGGCCTTACTATACTATATGTCCGTTTTCATGACGTTTTTTTTATGCCTTATTCACTATACTATGTTGTTTTCTTGACTTTTTATATGAAACCTTACTCATACTATGGTGTTTTCTTGTTTTGCTTCTATAACTAGTTCGTTTTATGATTCTTTATCACTTACTAGTCTCTACTTTTACCTTACTGATAAACGCTCTTATCTCCTGTCTTTCATGAGTTTTTTTATAACATGTCGTTTTTTATGATTTTAGCCTTACATCTAGTCTTAGCTTTATGCTTCTAACTATTCGTTATAGTTTTGCCTTATATACTGTTGCATTCTTTTTTTTTTAGGTCTTTACTGAACATTGACATTTTTTTGTGCCTATACTGAACTATGCCTTACTTTTTATGACTTTTTTTATGCCTTACTATACTGATGTTCGTTTTTATGACTTTTTTGTTTATTTAACTATACGCTAGTCGTTTTTATAGATTTTTTTTTATGCTTATCATGACTATGTCGTTTTTAATGACTTTTTATACCTTACTATAAACTCAATATTTTATATACCATATTATTCTGCATTTTTCATAACGTTTTTCTATGCTCTCATACTAGGCTTTAGAATTTTTATCTTACTATCTGATTCGATTTTTATGACTTTTTTATGCTTACTAATACATACTGATTTTTTGATGGCGTTTTTACTTCACTTTAACTATGTTCCGTTTTATTAATATTTTTTATCATGCCCATTCTAAAATACTATGACATTTCCTCTCACTTACTATGTCTTTATGGATTTTTCTAGCCGCTCGTGTACAAATACATGTGCGTTCTTTATGACTTTTTATGTCTCTTACCTTGATACTATTGTTTTTCTTGACCTTTTTTATGAAACCTTACTAATATACTATTCGTTTTCATGGACTTTATTTTAATGTACCCGTTATTATTATGATCGTTTTTACATCGACGTTTTTCTTATTCCTTAGCTTACGTATATCTATTGTTTTCTTGACTTTTTTTTACAGCCTTACTATATTCTTGTTCATCACGTTTTTTGATTGCCTTACTGAACATATGGGTCAGTTTTTTATGAATTTTTTTATAATTGTCTTACACTATACTATGTCGTATATTTCATGACGTATCTTTTATGCCTTACTTAACTAATGTTGTTATTAATGATTTTTTTTTATGCTTACTTAGCTTTTTTTCTTACTTTTTTAGTTACTAAACTGTCGACATTTTGTGCATTTGAACTTGTCGTTTTTAGTGACTTTTTATGCTTAACTGATACTAATGTCGTTTTCATGTATCTTTTTTTAGTGCCTACTTACTATGTTGTTTTCTTGACTTTTTTTATTACTAAACCTTGACAATTTATTATCTATTCTGTCTTTCTGACGATTTTTATGCCTTAACTATACTATGTGTTTTATGAACTTTTTGATCCTTACTATATAACTATTCGTATTTTCATGACTTTTTTATGCCTTACTATACTATGTTGTTTTCTTGACTTTTACACTCAAAAATTATGTCCGTTCATAGTTTTTTATGCACCGCTTCTATACTATGTCGTTTTTATGCATTTTTTTAGGTTTATATACTATGTCGTTTTTATGCACTTTTTTATTACCTTTACTATTAAAACTGACAATTATAACCAGATATTTTCTGGTCAATTTTATGACGGTTTTTTAATGCCTTACAAGTTACACCTCCTCGTGGGTTTTATTATGACTGTTTTTGTATGGCCCTTTACTAGTACTATGTCGTTTTGATAGATGTTTTTTTAATTGCCACTACAAATATCTCTACATAGTGTGTTTTACATGAACGTTATATATTTATGCGTGAACTTTCTTACTTATACTATTGTTGTTTTCTTGACTTTTTGTACACCTTTACTATTACTATGTTCGTTTTCATGATGTTTTTTTATGCCTTACTATACTTATGTTGTTTTTGTTGACTTTTTTTTTTATACACCCTTACTACATTATAAGCTATGTTGGCGTTTAATTCTTGACTTTTTTGTTTTAGTGAGCACCCTTACAGCTATACTATGTCGATTTTTGACTCTTTTTTTTTTTAGGGTCTTACTACTCACTATGTCAGTTTTTTGATCGTGACTTTTTTATACCTTACTATAACTGACAATTATTACCATAATTATTCTGTACCATTCTGTTCTATGGACGTTCTTTTTTATGCCTACTTACCTATATACTATGTGGAGGTGTTCGATGAACGTTTTTTATGCTAAAGCTTACTTATACTTAATGTTTGATCTCTCGTTGGCATCTATATCTCTTTTCATTCACCAGTTACTTAGTTACTATGGTCGATTTTTATGAGTCTTTTTTATATAGCATGTGCACATTTATTGTGTCTTACCCTACTATGACATTTTTTATACTACGCAGTTACTATCATGCGAAATGAATCAGTGTGTTTACTACGCTCCATTATTCTAGTCACTTATATCATTGGATGTTTTCTTTTTTTAATTGTATTCCCATTATACTTATAAACTCTGCATATATGTTGGTGGATCATTTTTTTGCAAATGAACTATGACAAGTTATAAATCTGTGTTCAGGGCTACTTCACAAGCAGCTTGGCTTGAAATACCGTTATTACTTATGTCGTTTTTATACTTCTCATGTTTTTATGCCCTTTAGCTTATTTACTATGATCGTTTTGTATGACCTGTGTTTATTATCAAACCTCTCTATACTATCCTATACTATTACGTTTCTATGACGTTTTTACTACGGACTTTAGCCAGTACTATGTAGTTTTATGACTTCTTTTTTACCTTACTGTACTGTAAAAAATTTTGTACCTTTACTGACTATTGTTCGTTTTTATGACAAACCTTTTTTTTTATGGGGCCTTACTATTACTATGTTTCTTTTTATGACTTTTTTTATGGCCTTAACTATTACTATTCGTTTTCATGACGTTTTATGCTACTATAACTATGTTGTTTTTCTCGACTTTTTTTACACCTTACTATTAACTATGCTCGTTTCATGGACGTTTTTTATGCCTTATATACTATGTCGTTTTTATGATTTTTTTAGGTCTTACTATACTATGTCGTTTTCATGACATTTTTTGTGCCTTTTTATATTATGACTTTTTATGCCTCATTAAAGATGACATTTTATGACGTTTATTATGCCTTACTATACTATGTTGTTTTGGTGACTATTTTTATGCCTTACTATACTATGTCGTTTTTACGACTTTTTTTTATGCCATACTATACTTTGATATTTTTATACCTTACTATACACTGACATTTTGTAACTTATTATTCTTTGTCGTATTCATAAACTTTTTTATGCCTTACTATAATATGTCATTTAGATGACCATTTTTATGCCTTACCATACTATGTTTTTTTTATGACGTTTTTTTTACCCCTTACTATACTAAGACATTTTTGTACCTTACAATACTTTGTCGTTTTTATGACTTCGCTTTACGCCTTACTATACTATGTCTTTTTTATGACTTTTTATGCTTTACTATACTATAACATTTTTATACCTCACTATACACTGACATTTTGAAACTTATTATTTTTTGTCATATTCATAAACTTTTTTATGCCTTACTATACTATGTCCAATTGGTGACTATTTTTATGCCTTACTATAATATGTTGTTTTTATGATTTTTTTTACGCCCTACTATTCAAGGCCTTTTTGTTTACTTTTTTTATGCCTTACTATACTATGACATTTTTATACCTTACTATACACTGACATTTTATACCTTATTATTCTGTATACCTTACGTTTTTATTACATTTTTTACGCCTTACTATGCTATGACATTTTTATGTCGTTTTTATGATATTTTTTTAAGTCTTACTATACTGTGTCGTTTTTATGATATATTTTATTATATGTACCAGTATATATATATATATATATATATATTTATATATACAGTATTTTTTTTTTTTTGATGTGTGATGTTTTTATTACATTTCATGCCTCACTATACTCTGACTGTTTTATGCCTTACTATACCATCTTATATGTAAACTTTCAGTGTTTCATTTACATCCATTGCTGCAAGAACATTATAAATTAACCAATTTCCTAATGCCCTCTTTTTTATGACATATATTAATTTTTCAATTCTTTATCTTAAGTTTATATTTGGCAACTAAATTAAATTAAATGTCAATAAAAACTGGTAAAATGGTGCTGTTCTAAAACTGTTGACCAGTATATACTTTTAGGATTCACCAATTCATTGAAACTGATCTAGATCAGATCTATATTAAAACTATATTCAATTTCTCAATAGTTTATAGTTTAAAAACTGAAAACACCACACATTTGTCAAAATAAAATGTTTTAATATTTTTTATGTACAAAATATACATGAGAATGTATAAATAGATAAAACATATGACGCTTGCATAATGGAGCTCAGTCCATACTAAAGATGGAAAATACTATTGCGTACCACCCAGTATGGATGAAAAATTACTTTGAAGTCACTCAACTTTAACAATCATATCTTGTCATTATTTGTTAGAAAAAGCCATGACAATGTATTCTCACTTTAACATTTGAGCATTATTGTTAACATGAATGCAGTAAAGAAACTGTTGAAATTAAGTTCAAGATTAGGTTCTGTTAATAGTTGCTCTTTTGACTGCAGTGAAACCAGTGAGGAGTGGGCCTTCAGTGACAGCCACACTCTTCAACAATCATGTCCTCGTGATGCCGCAGGGCCAAATCATCGTTCTCGTAGTACAGCATGGAGAGTGGGCTGAGGCGTGTCGGTACACAGGATGGGCATGTTACTCTTTCTGGATGGTGATGATGCAAGAGGCTCTGGAAAAACAGATGAATACTTCACGTGAACAAACAAGCCACTACAGAAAAACTTTGATTGTTTAAGATTCTATAGCGTTAAATGGGGTTAAAAATCGAGTTGCCATCTTACCTGCATGTATGCATGGTTGGTGGGATGGAAGGACTCATCCAGTGGTATAGGACACTCTCCCTCACAGCGAAATGCATTGTAGCGCTTAGGATGCACAATCCACTCATCCCAGCCAATGTGGTCAAAGTCCACCCACATGTCTACCTTCCGACACAGCGGCCTCTGGACCGGCTCTGCTGCTGGTTCAGCAGTAGGTGCAGCTCCAGCAGCCACTCTCATCCTTTCCATTCGGTTCCTTTTGTAGCGTCGACTTTGACTGTCACTGCTGCTGATTCTGTCCGTGGTCACATACTTGGAGTTCTCCACAGTATGAATGAGACTGTATGCTGAATGACCTTCCTGAGGCAGGTTATGTTTAGAGAAGATGACCATCATGACCTGGTTCATGGTTGGATGGTGTATTTTTCTTTGCCTAATTCCCAAATTCTTGAAGAGGGACCTGCCAGTTATCGCCCCTTCCTCCTCAGCACCGCTCCCATGCTCCGTCTCAGACTGTCCTGAGGCCTCCTGGCTTGACACGCTATCTCCTTGGTATAGCCAGTATTTCAACAGAGCAGTCACATTAAAAACCTTCCAGGAAGACTTTGTGCTGCTGGGTGATGTGGCAAAGCTCCCCAAGAAAAGGTGCTCATCCTGGCATGATGTGCTGCCTGGGTCACAGCTCTGCTTTTGGGAGTGATACAAATCCACAGTGGCACGCTTGGAGGCAGAGAAAGCTGGCAGCCAAATCCGAAGTTCTGCCAACTGGACGAGTTCACTAGTAGAGATGGTTGACATGTCAAATGTGACTGTCCATCTTTCACCCACTTGATGGCAACCTAAAAATTAGACAAAGACGTGAATGAGAACTCAAATTCACACACAACAGTCAGGAGTCTGGATGATTCTGGCCAAACCAGATCCCTGGACAAATGTCAAAACATTGGAGTGGGAGGGTGAACAGAGCAGGATGTGTATTGAACCCCCCCGTGCAAGGCCGTCTGAGGGCTAATATACACACCCTCACACATAAAACAGAGAAAGCCTTTAAAGTGGAATAAGCATTTTGACACTTGCTGGGTTGTAAAAAGGGAAGGTCTGATAACACAGACAGTGCAACAACCAAAGAGCTGCTGGAGACTAGAGCACACATGCAGACACAGGAGAAACTAACATATACAGTATATACCACGCTTTATATCCAGTGATGTATAAAAGCATTGTCAAAAAATAGAAAACATTACAGACTGTTTATCTTACCTCTGGCCATCAGACTCAGGACAGAGTCAGAACTGTGCGCTGACGGGTTGTCACCTTGTGTAATGACGGTGTTGACAGCTGCTGACGATGAGAAATCAGCAGTCCTGAAGGAGCGGTACAGCTGCATCATGTACAGAGGGTATCTGCTGCGATAATTAACTGAGAGATTTCTAAATGCTAAACTGGTCTCAAGGCGTGTGTGATGTCTGAGCCTCTGAGCGGACAAGACAAGTCCAACAGAGTCAAGGAGGAGCATACAGAAAACTGTCAGCACTCTAGCTTCCATTTTAACTGAAACTCACAAAATCTACACAAATGATAATGACCAAGAGAGAGAGAGGCAAAGATCTCCTTCCTTCCTCCAGCTGGTCTCAGGCTGAAATGATGCTGTGTGCAGACACAGCTCCAGACAGGCCCCTTTATAGTGGACAGCTGCCCTTTGATGACCCCTGACCACTCCAGGCATCTCCACAGCCCCTCTGATCATCAGAGCACATCAGAGGGGCAGAAAAAAAGACAACATTTAGCCAAGGTCATTGTCCTGTCAAACTGCCTGGCCTTTTATATTCATTATGGAGCTAAATACTTTTGACATGTAAAAACCCATTAACAAATAACACTTTAAATCCTGTGCAGCCATTAGCACCCTACTGTTTTGTAAAAGTGGCACAAGTAACAGAAAGTTTCACAAATCTTTAAATGGACAAAACATCACAAAACATTTAAAAAAGGAATATACTTTTATTTATTGATAAAGAACTAATACAGTACCTACTTGTTTGCCTGTTCCAGTCAGTCAGGAATGTATGAAACAGTATCATGCACAAAAACTGTGTGATGGTCAATAAACCGTGTTTCCATATGGTCACAGTAACAATAGCACAGATTTAGTGTATAACTTACACAAGCTCTAAAACCACTTAAATAATTGGTGTTTCAATCACTTGGATATGCGAGTTATTGTGTTACGGACAGTTCTTAAGATTTCAAGTGGAATTACAAGTAAAACAAGTACATTTTATAACTACCCAGTGACTTTCAAAACTAACAAATAAATAAGTAGACAACAAAACGCTGAAAAACAATGTAACAATCTAAAAGTCTTTTTTTTTTAAATAAAATTCGTTTACAGACAAAACTCAATGTGTTTCATGTCATGTAGAGGCAGCAGCTTATCGAATAGAGAAGTCTGTTTTACATTACTTTACACTTCTTTCACACGCATATGTATTTGTATGTCAGTTAACACACTTGACTGAATGAGGTATGCTCTCATCTGTTTCCCACTGTTTATGGCTGACGACTGTCCTCTCACAAAGTATTGAAGAAGGTCTTCACCTGTGTATGAGAAAAGGTACTTAAGGATCACGATGGATCAGAAACATGAAACACATCAAACATCACATCAGAAAGCAAAAATGTTCCAGTGCTATGAGTTCTCATTAAATGAAAAGGCAAGTCATGGCATCTCAAACATTACAGCGACCTCATGTGGTTAACACTGGCACAGCAGCTGTTGGATGAAAGTGCAATAAAAAAAATGCACATACCTTTGTAATAAATTGCTCCCGCACCTCTGGGTCACTCTGGAACTCCACACTGGCATCAAGTTGTAGCACAGGTATCTGTTTTATCTTCTCAAAATGTATTCTGAAAACAGAAAGCCAAGCTGTATTAGACACTTCACCACATTAACAGCCCACATTAGGTCCCCAGACCACACACTGTTGACCGTCATTTGTTCACAGCTGAGCAACAAACAGCTGCGAGGAAAGGCATTCAAAATGGTGGATGTCAAACAGGGATCTGAGTCGAGCATCCTGTAATACAATGGCTGTCCCACTGCTGGCGTCACTCATTTGAGTTTTAAAATTCATTTCATTTTAACATTTCATACCAGATTCTGGTGGGATAATTTACAGGTCATAACAGCTAAATATCACATTTGAATTGATTAATTTGCTTATATTAAGTGAACGTCATCACTGTGTAAAACAGGTATGCATTCACAGGAACCACCTGAGTATAAATGTGCCTAAATAATGACAATCTAGGTGCATTAATGTATCACTTCAAAGGTTATTTTCAGATGAGTCAAAAAACACATTTCAGTGCTGCACACTGAAAATAATTATAACAAAAGGGTGTGAATGGGACAAGCAACCCCCATGTGATCTCATTACTACTCACTCAGTGCTCTTCTCAACAAGCCATCTCTCATGTTGAACATGCAGCTTATCCAGATAGTCCAGTTCCACTCCCTTCTCCTCTGCTCTTCCCCGATGCTCCAGACGCTCCATACATTTCTGAGAAATGCACAAAACTGCAATGTCTTTGTACTGTTTTATAATGAAATTGAATAACTGTCAATGATGAAAAGCCACAGTAAGAACTATAAAAAATGGAAACAATGACCACAAGTTAAAATTGTTACAACTGTATGTTTTTTGGATTCAAATTCTTTATTGTCATTGTAAAGTTTTTTAATCAGAGCATGAAATAGTTTATGTTCATACCTTTGGTGGGGCTTTGAGGTAGATGATGCCTTCCAGCTCCACCTGGTGTCCAAACTGTTCCACCAAGAAGGAGTGCCAGTTCTGGTAAACTGCCCACTCTGTAGAGTTGATACAACCCAACTCAAACATGTTCAGGGCAAAGATGTATCTGGCAGGGCAGAGAATCAACATTTTATTCAAGCAAAATAAACAGGAATGCATTTGGTCAATGAGTATAATAATACATGAAGTGTATACATCTATTTCATACTTTCCTGATTACTAAAACAAGAATTACTCAGTGACAATGTTTGAATTTAGGGATAGTGGAGTAAGTCTAAAGTATCCAACCTCAGTCTGGTTTAAACAGCTTTTGGAAGGATAACATCAGCACTTCCCACCCCTATGGATTTCACTTTCCTGCCCTGAATTACTCACCTGTCACTGTACACTGAGCGCTCATACACCTGGACAGGTGTTCCCTCTGAGCTGAGCAGGCGAGCTGGAGGAGGCTGCAGTTGTGTTCTCAGCCGGCTCATACACGAATATGTCTGAAATGTGTAAGACCATCGCAGGGGGTCCTGGTACATCATCTGCAGCAGGTTGCTGACTGTTGTCTGGGGGGATGCGCCTGTCCCCTGTCAAAAACACAAGCAGAGATGATCAACTTGGCCTCTTTTGATTTTAGATGGGAAAAGATTTAGAGGTCAGGAAATGTGCCCACCTTTGAGGTCCCACCCTCAATGTTCTGCCAGTGGCTGACAGGCTCTGCCATCACTTCCCAGTCTGGACAGGCTGACTGCAGGAGTCTTGTAAAAGTTGACTTTCCAACAGCTGATATTTGAGATCACATAATCCAAGTCTCTTACATACTAGCAACACTTAGAAGCAACAGATACACAACCAAGCCACAAAAGTCGGTGTGATTACAATAAGTTTGATCGTTTGTTATATGAACAAGTATGAAATATTCATGATCTTACCGATGTTGCCCTCGATAGAAACTCTCTTCACTCGAGCTTTTCCATCTTGAGTTGAAGTTTTACTCGACAGACACCTTGAACAAGAATCGCTGATCTTGTCTCTCTTACTCGCCATAGTACTTAGGTTAGTTGTTGTCTGTGTTATGGTTGTGTTTCTTCCTCGTAAGAAGCTGCCCGGTGTCTTCCACTGCAGAGGAGGCGCATTAAAACTCAATCTTATCAAATCAGTTTGTCTTTTTAATTCGAAAACTCGGTTGAATAGGACGCACCGGTACAGGGCAGCCATTACAGTATGCTTAATGAACAATCACACAGGGATTGTCACATTTACTAGCATGTCGCTTGATGCTTGCTAATGTAAATGAGCAGCTAAGAATATTGACGTTGCCACTGAGTTACCCTCATGGTAGCTAGCTCATCCTCTCCATGATGTAACAGGAACATTCGTTAGGAAATGTTACTGTATTTATAAATAGCGTTATAATAGTTGAATTGCTCATGTAGAGTTCACACTTTTGTGTTTCGCATATTTGCTACTAGTTAGTGACATTATTTCTGTAAGTTAGGAGATAAGAAAGTGTGCACAAAGGCTACAAACAATCTCAAAAAAGTACTTCCGGTACACGTGCGCTTTCCTTTCACAATAAAATCCGTCTGACAAACCATATCCTGTCTGAACAGAAAATGAACGCCAAACGACAAATGCAGACTTGCTTGATGTCACACGCTTAGCTTAAAGATAGAATGACTATGTTTCGTATATAGTCGATGGTATAAATACAGAATAGTTTGAGGTGGTGACAGTAGACAGCCGTTTCTTTGATACCCCGGAAGTACTTTAGCTTTGCCCAGATATTTTCAACATGGATCAACAAGGTCAGTTGCGTGTTAGTCTATGGAGAGAATAAGATCCAGGGTAGACAAAAGCCTTAAAAAGTTAATTTTTATTTTCACATAATTTTTTATGTGGTTAGTGTATCAACTTGACCTAAACTCATTGATGAATAATTAAACATTCACTTTTTACTCATGATTTTCACAAATAAAGAAATTTACTCTGATGTTGCATTGAAGTGACATTTAATGCTTGTTGGTGTGTAAGAAGCATTGTTGTTGGCACCATTTACAACAATATTCAACCTCAGCCTTTTAATCCAGCCATCAGAAGTAATTTGTGAATGGCCTTGTCTGTTTGGACACAAGTGATAATGCAGAATAGTTACTTTTTTCCCACCCATGTGATTTTGAAGATATCCACTGTTTCATCTCTAGGATTTGATCTTGCTTTTATGCCACTCAATTACATGAGGATGTCAGCCATAAGAAATAACTAATTTTGACATCAAACAAATGATTAAGTACTGTATATTTGAATTTTTGCTGGCACTAGTTAAGTCTTAAATTACTGCATGGTTGACAATGTCAATTAGCCTAAATTCCATACTTTTGATAACCAAGTCAAGTCAAAACAATTAATATTTTGTTTGTGACAAAAACACAAAACTCCAGAAAACTCTTTATTTAAAAACAATCATAAAAAAAGCTTTACAATTTGAATTCTCCAGTTAGAATATTCACAGCATTACTATTCAGTTAGGTCTAAATTACACCTTTAATCAAGTGAAAATCAGTGGAACTACTATGACCATTTATTCACAGATTCACAGACAATTGAAGTATAATCACTGGTTGAAACTACAAGGGTCAGATTCTCCTCAGTCACGTCACTGTTGCATCAGCAGTGACTCTCAGTAGCTTGTGTTTTTGATGGTGATCTTTTGAGCCGCCTTTATCTTGAAATCATTGATACCTGAAGGAGCAAACCAACATTTTTTTTTTAAACAACGTGAAATTAAAAGCAGCAGATGAAAGACATGAAGAGAATGTTCTCTTAGTGAGTCATAGTGTAATATATGTGTGTGTCCTCACCCTGACTGAGTGCAGTGCCATCAGAGGAGAGGTGCCAGTATCTGCGGTCACTCTGTCTGGCCTGCTCTCCATTCACCACACTTAAGAAAGGTCCCCACAGGCTGGACTCCTTCTCAAACCTGCCAAACAGCATCAGATAATACTCAATGTAGGCAATCATATAGGTCTTGCAGGACATATAGGAAAAAGCTATGAAAAGTTGAAATGCATAAAGGTACATTATTTGAACTCACGTGAAGCCAACATTTATCCCCTTGAGAAGTTCAAGGGCCTCCAACAGAGAACTGCCCTTTGGCACATCAACAGAGTAAACAGCAGCTGCCCCGCTGGATATCACCACCTCAACCATCAAACTGACTTTGCTCTCACTTGGTAAAACCACCACAGGATCTATGGGCTCCAGCACCAGAGTGTCTGTAGGCAGGCGCACACAATTACAAAAACAGTGACAATACACAACAGTGACCACAGAGGGTAGAAGTAATGGTGCACATACTATCCTCATTGAGACAGTCCTTGCTTTTCACTGTCAGGTAGGATTTCTGCTGGAGAGCTGGCAGGATCTGAGATATGGCCATGGGGTTGTGGTATGTGTTGCTTCTGGCGCCTGTCCTCATGGCCTCCATTGAGGCAGCACACTCTGCAACCTGGCTGCCCATTGCCAATAATGCCTTTAACGCAACAAATAAGTACATTTAAGCTGCAAAGATTTTGTGTTGCAAAACTTCATGGAGTGGGAGAGACAATGGGAACTGAACAAAAAAATAAATAAGGAAAAAGATCCTTACCTGAACTGCAAGACCTGTGCTGAACTCATTGCCAATATGGCCATCGGCCCTGCGAGCGGCCAAAAGCTTCTGCTTGATTTTGCTAAGGGCGACGTCCAGCTCAGCGGCATTGTGCACATGAGACCCAGCGTCCTTCACACATTGGAGTGCCATCCCAGCCATGGCATTGGTATCTAGGGAAAGAAAGTAGGATAAAAATGTGCATATTTGCCAGACAGAAGGAGAGTTTCATTTGAAGCAGGAGAAACTGAGGTGTTACCAAGAAAGACTACAAGATTGCTCATGCATATAAACATGGTGGTGTTCACAGAACTGCAGATAAACACTACATACACTCTCCCACCCTTCATTCTGGCAGATTTCTGAGGGATGGGCCATGAGAAAAATTAATCCCAGGTAACTTTATGGACTTTACCTGTAAATATGACTCCATATGTACTAAAACAAAACGGGGCTGGTTTTATCTGTCATACTATCTCACTGCGACTTTGTTCCTAGTACAGAGCTGATTTGTATTACAACTCCAGATGCTAATGTCCCCAAGGCTCACAGAGAAAATTCAGGGACTCTCTCTTTTGTGTGTTCATGTCCATAATGTGTGTGAAATTAACCATCTCATGTTTAGGGTATAGTTAATTATCCTAAAATAATTGTAAAAATTGTGAGAGTTAGGTAAACTCCCAAACATCTATAAGATAATTTCTTTATCATTTTTAGCATAAGATTTGACCTGATGCTTCCCTGCCTCCATGTTTCTTGCACATAATTTTATTTAATATTTATAAAAGAAAACATTAAGGCAGGTTTCACTCACCAATACTCTCAGAGTTTCCATGTTTGAATTGTTCGTCTTCCACTGCCTTGATGAGTTTGTTGCTGACATGGTTGTTGACCCTGACGCCACTTGCACAAAGAGCAAGCACACCCAGAGAGTACTGGTAATAGTTGGTCAAAGGGCGGTGGCTGACTGTGTAAAGGAAAGATGAAATAGAAGAAACCAAATTACACTGAAACCTGACTTCCCAGTAATGTTCAAGAAATTAAATAGTTGACTAATGAGTCTGACTAATTCCATCAGAGGTGAAATAAATGTGTAATTTTTTTATACCATGTACTACCTACAACCAATCTAATGTTTAATTGAGGCATAAACCTACTCAAGAGAAGCCACAGATATAAAGCTACAGTCTTTTTATGACAACCGTTGCCTCCAAAAGGTCAAATGAAACTTACAGCCAATATGCTCTTTTTCATGTTCCATCTGCTTCTTCAGTTGTGTCAGCAGCACCTTCCTTGTCTCGCTGACGGTGAAGGTGACTGTGTTGAGGTCGTAGCAGGAGGACTTCAAAGCCATAGTGTACAATGCCAAGAGGCCAGTCACAGGCTGGCCGTTAGAGAGAGAGCTGAGAAAGACACAGGAGGCTGAGGTTCAGATGAGAACATCATGGGAAAAGATCAAATCAGTGTACGAACATAGCATAACATTACTTTGCAGAATTAGTATATTGTAAACACTGTATTACTTTTGTATGTCATTGTGCAAATCAGTTTTCAGTTTATTCAGGTGTTCGCTCTCCTTGGCAAGGTTGTGGAAATTAGAAAGTCGCAATGCCAAGTGCACACTGGGATTGGGGACTCCTTCCTGCCTCTCCAGAGAGCGAAGCAGGTCCTTATTGAGTGACGTGAGCAGCTCATTGACAGATCCTTCAGTATCTGGATTAAAATATTTCCAAAGAAAAAATGTTTCTCAGAAATGTTAACTTTTGATATGATAACAAGCATAAAGTACTTCAGTAACACTCGCTTGCTGGCATCAACATGAACCTTGGGAGCATTGCAAAACCAAAACTGCAGCATCAGCAGTCACAAGAGGAAACAAAAACTGTGGAGACTTAAATAATTAAAAGTATTTTATTGCTGTATTCAGCTTACAAATATCTTAATATTGCTCTATTTTTTATCCTCAGCACTGAACAGCAATAAGTTGCCATCATTCTCTGTAATTTGACATTTGCACAAATTTAGTCAATGAACAAACAATATGAAGGCCATACAATTTCATGAAATAGGTATTTTTGCGAAATCTGTAAATGTCCAGACCAGTGAGTCAGTGTGTTTGCAAAGTGTGTTTTTTCCCCAGAGTTGGCTCAGATTTGGCAACAGCAGTCAGGGTTTCTGGTGACTGGTGATGGCTGGATTTAGGCTTTTAAAAAATGTTACATACCACATGGTTTGCTAGAGGCAAAAGCCAGGAGACATACTATTAAGAACGAAGACAGCATTCTGGAAAACCTGCTGGATAACACAAAGTGTGAATAAATATATTTGCCAAAAACGGTAAAGTAACAACACAGATAGACAATAAAATCATGAGATCAAAAAACTCTTCTTTGTATGACAGTTTTCGCGTATTTGAGAAAGGCAGGTACACGGATGTTAAACAATAAACCTAAAAGCAATAGCAATATCTTTTAGATTAGACACATAACTGTCTATTTAGCGATGTTAGGTAAACATTATTGGGTCGCTATTACAATATTATTACAGCAGTTTAGTATTTTAGCTCGTAAGCTTTTTAAATTCCGCAGCAAACAGCAGTTTGTTACCTCCTCAGAGCGACACTCCAGCAAGAAGAATCAGGGTTGAGTAATGAAACAAGCAGAGACAACAGCTTCTAGTATTTCACAATCACATGACTCGTTATTTGGGATGACAAAGCGACGAATAAAGCTAGAGGGCCCTTTACAACAGCTGCGAGTCAGATCATAAACAGAAAGTTTGAGCTATTAATCTTGAAGTCGTTTATAGTCTTTGATAAGAGCAACACAGTAAAAGTGGGGAGGTGTCTATCTTGTTTTACACATATCATCTTCCGGTCACTGCTTGCGCCCTGTTGTCGCAACTGATATTTTCAAACTAAGAAAGTAGATCTGGTATTGGCAAAACATCATAACTTAACTAAGTTAACTTTATGTATTTGTCTAACCGAGTGTTTTACACAAACAAGACTATGTAGACAGTCGTTTGTCCACAGGAACTACAATTCCCACAATTCAACTAAAGTAGCATACGCATTTTCTGGAACCTTGACGCATCTTCTGGCGCGACTCACTTTTTCAGAATAGCTAACTAACGTCAACTTAACCCAACCTACCTTTCAAGCCGTCCACACCACTGGGACCGTCAGTTTGGGGGTATTTTTGTTTACAGGTGGTATCGTGGTAATAGGGTTAGTAAGACTTGAGCATGTAGAACCTGTTACTGCTTGCCGATGGGAATATCCTAAGAGACAACAGTGTTAACTGAACGGAGGCAAGCTAGCAAAACATCAACAACAAAAACATCAAGGGGCAGGGCAGCTGCACGAGTCAGTCTCTAACAGGAACTTTATGTTTCTGGTTAACTTATGCAAAGTTGTTATTCAGCACAGGGATGAAGCTATCATTTTGTATTGCCTTGTCACATTATAAGTAATAGATTTATCGGTAACGTTATATTAACGGTATCACCCAACAGTAGCGTTTAGCTAGCTAGATAACCAGCCAGCCGGCCCCGTGTAAACATATTTATAGCTTGTGCGTCATGTAGGTTACATCAGCTTATCTGATTGGTATCAATACTGATCTTCCAGATCAGATCCATTTTTAGTGTGACACCGTGTGTCTCTTCAAATCATCTCACCAACTGGGCCACCATGCATCACTCTGCTCCCTCAAGCAGTGAACTGGGGTTTCTGCCAGCCATGTATTCATTTTCAGGCCCCACTAGCCTTCCTGAATTTGACCTCGGACCTCCAAGTACGTCTGCCCACCTACAGAGAACGACGGTCTCTAACAAGTACGTCTCTGATGTTGGTTTGGGGGTTGTAAATTCCTTGCATACATTTTCAGCAATACACTGGCAACACTTGATATCTCTTTCCAATCTTAGTCAGACATGCATGTATTATCTGTTTTTACGCATCTGTCTGTCCCACAGCAGCTGGGAGACTAGGTGCCTCAGGAAGCACAGAAGGAGAGTTGATGATGAGTAAGTGAGAGAGGAGCAGAAAAAGCAATCTTACCTAACATCTGACAATGTTTGGAATACTTATGAAGGAGTGTTATGATAAGTATCTTGATGTTTTCTCAGGGGATGCAGTGCCAAAAGGAGGAGGTTAATGGTAGAGGCAGAAGTGGATATTTCAGAGAACTCTAACACTAGCTCTCGTCATGACTGGCCTACAGCAAACAGCTGCCCTCCCATGTCTGCACAGCAAGCCAGCCCTGCACTTCCACAGCCCTGCCCAGAGCCTCAGCCCCTGACTTTGCCGCATCCCTCCCCTGCCCTGTCCCGACTTGAGACAGAGAGCTCCTGCATGGAGATAGAGGCAGCTCAGAGGAAACTTCAAGAGATTGAAGACAGGTATGCAATATGAAGAGTAAGCAAAAACTGCTTGCCAGAATTAGACTTCAGACTTGCAGCTCATTACCATAAGTCCTCACTCCAGCTAACCATCCTGGAATATTTTGTTTATGGGTAAAACAAGTGAGAAACAAAATATCTACATATATATATTGTTACTTGTCCCAGCAATTCTAGACTATTTAGACATCTTGTGTTAATAGTGTGGCACAATAATGTGGTATCACTTAATCACTTAAAGTAATCATCACAGTGACCCCGCCAGGTGGCAAACACAAATTATATCAGTATCTGTTATTTATGCATTTCCATTGAAAGAAAAACACTGCAAATGATTAAGTGCTGTGAATGTGCAATTGAATGCACTAATTTATTCAGAAAGAATTCAGGTATTATTTTTTATTGACAATTCTTTCATTTCATTAAAGCTGAGCAGGTTCACAGGAGGCTGGAGGCTATTCCAGTATGGATTTGGTGAGAAGAGGTTACACCTTTACAGGTCACCAGTCTGTTACAGATCAGAATATCCACTGACGTGGGTTTGATTAGACTCACAAATTCTGCTTCAAAATAGAACCAGGCATATGACCTCTTTCATGTTGTGGGCCAGTTTTCTAATGTCTAACTGAATGAAAGTATTTAAGAAAATGGTTTATTATAGGAGTTAGTTTTGAAAGAAATACTGTTGGTTCCTGTTCTCGCCATTTATATCAGCCACATTGGGTTTGTTATACCTCTTACTGGTAGTGATTGGTTTGGGAATTTGTATCACATTAAAATGTGACATGAGTCAACATATACTGTACTCTCTACACCTTTAAGTGAATACTGTGGATTTATGTATCACAGAATAACACTGGAAGATGACGATGAGGATGAGGATCTAGATGTAGAACCAGCCCCAAGAAGGCCAGTGCTGGTGATCTCGGACAGTTTGAAAGAAGGTCTGCAGCGCGGCATCAGCGACATCCTCCCTCACAAAGTAGCCCAGTCTGTGTATGTTCTTTCCTTGTTATTGATTCATAATTATATAATAAAAATAAAATAATAATTGATAATTTAATGTTGAATGAAGTAACAAGTGAAGTTATGACATGACTTGAGAACTTAAAGTAACATGAATCATGTTCTGGCAGGAATCTTTAGACACATTTTTTTCTTCTGCTGGTTATTTTTGTCTCACCTGCTACCTCCTCATACTTTTAGGAGCCATTCCTGCATGGAGCTGGTGTTGTGGCGGCCACCTGATGACCCCTTCTGTCGGAGGCTAAAGGGCTCATTACAAAAACAGCGCAAACAGACAGTATCTCGGCAACCGCCAACCCCGTGTCCATCTCCCACCCCTCACAGTCATCCGAGCCCCTCCAGTCCACCTGCAGACACACACTCTCCTCTGTACAGCTTTCCTGTGGCCCACAGCTCTGGGGAGGAGGACATGGAAATGTAATAGTGCTAAATGACTTTGAAAGCCATGCCAAAGTAAAAGACTGGACATGTAGTCACACAGAGGACCCAGAACCACTTTAAATCGGTCAGTTTGGCAAGGCATGTTGGCTTTACATGGATATTGTGCTGTTTTGGACGGTTTGTGCAACACATACAGTATTTTGCTTTACAGTCACTCAATATGTTCTGACTATAATCCTGGGCAACTACATGTAAAATGCAACAATAACATTGACCTAATTAATTAGTTTTATTCATTTAAATCTCCAAAGTAACTTATGATCTCAAGACTTTGAAAAGTTCAATAGAGAGCCTTACATTACCAGTTTTATATAACTTACAGAATTGGCCTTTGTCCATAGAAACAATATAATTTATACAGAATTTTGCCAAAGCCTAGTCAACACACTGATGTATTGTAAATATGACTTTGCTCTTTGTGAAACATCAGTGTGCAGTACCTGATTTTTGTACAGTTTTTATGTTGAGCTTCTGTGCATCATTAGCAGGACACTAAAATAATTTGTTCCTGTGTGCTCACATTTGCTCACAGCATGGCTTGCAGTTGTACTTGTTGTGGTAGAAACATGATCTTCATATAGTGTTTAGCAAGTACGCCATCTGCGAGCTTTGAGGAATGGAAATGCACCTTTTTATGATTTGATTGTATTTTCATACATACGTTACCAGAATTGCAGCCAGCCATTAAGTGTTATTACTTTATATTTGTTTTTAAATAAACTCTTAAATTGTCAATATAAAGATTCTGCATGGCCTCATTGGTTTTCATTGGATTTAATTTTGCTTTGTTACGGTTTTATCATTACAAGCAGTATAGCATATATACATATTGAAAACAATTAGGTAAGAATGATTTTAACCAACAAACTTAGGTTATTAAATACAATAGCCTTCAATTTGTCACAGAAAATGAAATTATTTACTGTGGCAATGCAATTTCAAGACTTTATTCATCAGTTAATTTTCCTGAACTCAGACTGATACTGACAATTATGTTTACTTAAATAGGGACATAATTGAATTAGAACTGACAACACCAGTTCCCCAGCCTGCTTAAACGCTTTGGCAACAGACGCTTGACTGACCAACTGAAAATAACTTGCTGCAGGTGTGGAAGCAGTTTTGATTATAGGGAAACATTTCAAAAATCTCAGGTCCAGTAGATTTTTTTACATTAAGATTACACAGTTTCACAAAGTTGATTCAGATGTTTAAAGGTATATTAAATGCTATGACAATTTTCTTAGAAATTACCAGACCCCGATAGAACTTTTTTTTTATTGTACAATTAAGCATCATGTAACATTCATGATCACATGTGGGATTTCCACAGAGACCTGTCAGCTTTATGAGGTTATTTGACATAACTCACATGATCATCAGTCTCCAGTGAAATGTCAGTTCATCACTTATTCACAGTTCACTGTAACTTTAAGCCATAAAACTTGAGTGCCTTAACACAAAGGAATGTGAACTTGATGACCAGATCTTCAGTTGTGTCATTTGTCACTGTGACCTGCTTGTTAATCTGCCATCTGAGGCACATGTGACAGTAAATGATTCATCTCCATGGTATGCAAAAAGAGCTCGCTTGAGACTCAGGTTTAAGAAAGTTATATCACTGGTGGTCATTCAGACACACACATACACACACACAGAATAAGGCTCCATTTCCTTAACTTGATACTGTCCTGATTGCTGACTCGGTCTGAATCCCAGCACTGTCTTGACCTTGAGTGATCTGTGAAGCAGACATTGATATTACTTGATATTGTGAAGTCAAGCACAGAAATAATAGTCAAACGTTGGTGATGCTGCTACATTTACAGGAGTATTTTCCTTCTCTTTAACAGTTTTAGAAATAATTTGAGCATTTCAAATCAGATCTAGAGGTGCTGTGCCTTTCTCAAAGTAAAAGTAGGCAGTTTGTGACAAGGCTTCTTGTTTCCTCTGGTGCTTCTACAAGACAGTGCTAGTTGTCGTTTATAAATTTAAAACATGCAGCACAATAAATGCAGTATGTAATGCTTTATCCATTAATTACATAATCCTTGTGAATGTGAGTGCAGTGCATCAGCATCCTACAATGAAAATATCCTTAACAAATACCCTGATTTTATTTGCTGCCCTGTGTGAAGCATTCTGTAACTTAAATTATGAAAAGTGCTATCATCATTATTATTATTATTATAATCATTTTAATTATTATTATTACACATCTTAGATAATTAAAAACCTAAAAAAAATAGCTCACCTGGCCTTAAGGTAGATTACAAGTACTGTTTGCAGTATGCTTGTTGTTTAGTAATGCTGTAAATAGTGATACTGATTAAGTAAATAATCAACAGCCATCTTTAAACAGTAGGTTCTCTGCAAGGCCAGATCTATATTGGATAGCACAAATCACCCTTTTCACTCTGAGTTTGTATCCCTTCCCTCAGGCTGTAGATTTAGAGCTCCCCAGTTCAGGAGTAATAGATCTAAAAAACTCATTCATCTCGTGTGAAATAACCCTGCTAAATTTGCATAAGTAAATTGTCACTTTATAGTGTGTTGTGTTTTTAGTGTCTGATGTTCTTATTGCAATCTGTGTTTTTATAGTGTTTGGTGTTTTTTATAGTGTTGTGTTTTATTGAAATGTGTGTATTGTTGCACTTAAGTTCTTTCTTATCTATTTTTTTATCTGACTGCAATTCAAGTTTCCCACTTGGGATAATAAAATGAAATCTGAAACTGAATCTGTATCAATAATAATCTGCTATTAAAAGAATTTACTCACTGTTTTAAGGTAGGATCCTGACAAATCTACAGGGACTGTATCTGGAGGAGATGAGCTCCAGGTAAAGGCCTGGTTTTCTAGACGGAGCTGCTTCACTCTGCTCTGGAGATAACGTAGAAGCTTAAATGAAGCCACGTCTGAGGGGCTGTGGGAAGCAGCAGAGTCCACCACATGGAGGAAGGGAGAGCAAACTGAATTCTGAGTTTCCTGATGGGAGGGAGACACCAGCAAAGATAGAAGATGTTTTTTTTTCAATAAACAAATGAACACTATGTATCCACAGTATAAGGTATGTACAAGGTACTTTATGTGTAAGAGCTTGATGTTAATGCTCACACAGGAGCAGTAAAACATTTACCTTTGCACTAAGCGTCATCTCTCCTTCAGGCCTCTCAGACTTTCTCTGTCTCTCCCCTTGAGTCTTTGACGTTTTTCTGGAAAACAAACCAACAATCCTACATTTGAAAGGTTCATAGGTGTGAATAATTACTGCATGAACTATACATGTATAGTTAATGTTACATCTATGGTCTAAACAGCATATCACAGTGAGTTGAAGTGAGATCATGCATGAGATCAAGGACAGACAGCTGGTTAGTATGTCATCTATGTTTCACAGGCACATAAATCAGTTACCTGCCCCTTAACAACTTTGTCTTGCACCTATGGGATGGAAAAATTAACCAAAACTTAACAGAAGAACAACAGAAGAATAGTGTGTGATTTCCATTGTGTGGACCAATAAGATTCTGAATGCCATAATGAAGAAAAGGGCAAGTATGGAAAATGATTGCTTCATACTTAAAAAGGACAAAAACTATGAGGCTGCATTTTGACTTAGTTTGGAGGATGTAGATTCCATGTTTAGTACGTTACCTTTCCAGCTCAGCTGTCAGCTCTTCTTCAAACTTGCATGCCAGACGAGCTGCAGTCTGTTCCTTCCACTGACCCATGCTCCTCCGAACCTGCCTCAGCTCCAAGTCTTTGGCCTTCAGCTGTTTGCGGAGAGATACTGCTACTCCTCCTCCCTCAGCTCCTCCATCACTCACATGAGCCCTGTTCAGACTGCTCAACTCCTCAATGTGCTCCTGCATGAATGTCATGGGGGCACAACAGTTCTGTAATGCTGAAACTGTTGTGTTTTTTATCCTTTTGCATACTCATGAACTTTATGAAGAGTGTGAGCTCATACCTGAATGAGACGCTCCTTAAGGGAGTCCAAGGCTTGATCTCTCTCCATCCTCAGCTGTTGCCTCTGGATGCTAATTTCTCGCTCCTGAAAACATATGAACATATAATGCCCTGTATTTGCAAACACCAGGTACTATGCAGTATGTTGATTCCACACAGACCTTGTCCTTTCTCAGCTTCTCAGTGTTTTTTTTCTGGGAATCAAGCTCCTGGTGTAGATGGCTGATCAAGTGCTCCAGCTGCTCTCTTAGTGCTCTCAGATTTGTTAGAGCTTCGGCCACTGTAGAACTGCACAATACACAGGCACAGAATCATAAGCTAATCATCAAACACACTGTGTTGCCTACAAAGTATCCACTTCTTTCTAAAGCAGATATGGACGTAAGCCAGAACAGGACATTATACCTGGCAGGTAGCTGCACAGCATTTTGTTTGGCTCCACTCTGTTCCACTAAGAGGTGTAGATGCTGGCACTCTGCTCCCAGCTCCTGGGCCCAGTGCCTGAGCTGCTGGTCCAGCTCAGCTGTGATTTGGTCATGGCTGCTCTCCCTTTCTTGTAGCATCACTCGGAGCCTGTCAGCCTCTTTCTCTGCCAGGTGAACAGCCTGTTCAAGCCACAGCACTGTCCTTTGACTCTCCTGCGACCACAGGCCACACCATGTCAGCGTTTCTATAACAGCATTTCTCTTTATGTGCCTACAAATGATCACTCTCTGTGGTTTTCTTGTACCTGTGCCACCTGTTTCTTCAACCTCTGCAGCTCAGCCTGGTGCTCCTCTTTTAGTGATTTGCAAATAACAGCCAGAAAAGAATCCTGCTCTCTCTGCTTTGCACAACTTTCATTCTCCAACTCCAGCACTCTCTCCAGATAAAAGGAAAATCAAGCAAAGACATTGAAAATTTATTCAGATTTATTTATGATGGTAATATTATATACCATGGCTGCAAGTCGCCTTACTGTTTTTAGTTCCGAAACTTTATGTTGAAGAGCTTGTGCTTTACTCTTTTCTTGCTGCATCTCACTCCTCATGCTCTCCAGGCTCTTCCTGTTCTGCTCTTCCAGTATCCCACAGTGCATCTGTACAGCTTCCACTTTTTCTGCCTCCCACTTCCTCCTCTTCGCCTCTATTGTTTCCTGCACCTGAATGGGAGCATATTGTGTATATCACACAATCGTGTTAAAATAGATGTCGTATTTTAGTCAGAGGACCATCAGAATACCTTTTCAGAGGCTTCTACATGCAGCTCCTCTTCACGGTTCTTTGCCTCCTCCCTCCGCTGCTCAAGAGATTTCCTTAGCATCTTTGCTTCTTCGTCTTTTAACTGCAAGAACAGGAGAAGATCACATCTTTAAAAGTAACCCAGTAGAATGTTTTTACTCACAGTATCTTTAATGTATAGCACTAAAGATGCCACGAGAACAACATGTGGCATCTAAACTTAACATACAATATATGCATTCATAGCACTGCAAGATACTTTGGATAAAAGAGTTAAACAAACATTTTGTATTGAGGTATTGTAGTGCTGGATTTTACATGTTCAGTGTGACACACTGACCTGAATGGAACTTTGCATGGACTCAATGCATCGTGTGAGTGCCAGAGTCTGTTCTTTCAAAGCACTTGCTTTCTCCTCTTCAGCCTGCTGATTAACCTGAAGAGGAATTAGATGAGTCAGTATTTTAAGTTCTCAGTTTAATTTGTCACCTTTTGGATTTGCTGCTCATCTGCCAAAGCCAACTCTTTTTTCTGTTAATTTAATGCTGAGTCCTGAAACACAGACAGAATAACCCTAATAACATTATGATATATTAGAAAAACCTCAGAAAGCCTCAGTCTTCCTCAGCACTTACCGTCATTCTCTGGGTTTGTTCCTGGGCTTCCTTCAGTGCTGTGTAGTGCTGAATTTTCAAGTGTTGCAGCTCCACCTTCAGTCCATCTCGTTCTGCTTGTAAGGCCCTACATTGTTCCTGGGAATCTAGCAGCTGCCGCTCCCTCTGCACCAACATCTTCTCCAGAGTACCCACCCTGATCTTACATTCTCCCAGTTCAACCTGCAGCTTGTTTACTTGAACTTCTAATGCCTTAGAGTAAGAGAGATAGCAATAGTAGGGATAGTTAGAAGAGAATAAGAAATACAGAAAAGTGGATGCTAACATTGTGCCATTTGCTTGACAGATTTAAATGTGATTATTATTTTTTAAATTAGAATAGAAATTAGCATAATGATAGAAGGGGTCACCTCAATTTCCTCTTTTTTCTGGGTCTGTTTCTTCTCCAGACAGGCACACCGACTCCTCAGTGAGCTCTCTGCCTCTGTGGCCCTCTGGAGTTCCTCACAAGTCTCCTCTAAATTCTGCTCCAGTTTCATAGATGAGCACATATCCAAAGATATTTTAGAACACGGCGACTAAATCTGCCTCACACTTAAACAAATACCTTCTCCCTGTAAAATATGGTAATTCGCATCCAAACACTAACTATAGAAAACAGCACAACTAAAATGACACACAACATAGTCTTTTATTAAATTCGGGTGTTGCTGTTTATCTTACACTGTAAACAGTGCTGTATTTACTTCAAAAATATGAATGTTGCTATGGTTTATAATTGTGATTATAGTTTTACTTGTATATATAAATAGACCTTAATACTGTACCTCTTGCACAGACTCCAGCTTCTCTCTTGCACGTCGCTGTTCAGCAAACAATTCTGTTTTTGCATTATCCAGCTGTCTTTCCATCTCCTCCCTCTCCAGCAGTGACATGATGACGCTGTTCTGTTTGTGAAACAGAGAAACAACAGTTTGTTTTAAGAACAAACCTGACATATTAAAACATGTGAATGACTGAGCAAAACCAAGAACCGAAAGACATATTGCTTTGAGTCAGGTTTCATTACCCTCTCCTTATGACTCTTTCTATGTTGACTCAGAGTTGCAAGTTCTTCTTCCATGTCCCTTATCTCATGGAGACAGGACTCTCTTTGCTTCTGCAGCTTCTCCAGCTGGCAACTACAACATGTTCATTGTTGTGTTACTCCTCAACACAACTATCCTTCACAAAGACCAATATTATGTTGAGGCAGTTTTATGTTAACAATGCCGATGCATACGGCTCTGTATATTACAATTAGTAGGATACAATGTTAGGATACCTAATAGAGTCCCTCTCCACTCTGCTGTCACTCAGAACAGACTCCAGAGTCTGCTTCTCCTTCTCCATCTGTGCTGTCTCTGCAGTCAGTTGCTCTAATTCCTTCAAGGCATGCTGGGGCATAAAGCATAAACTGTGAGTATTAGTGAGAATTTTCTACAGTTTTCTATTGATTATGATGCATGTTACCTTTCTTCTCTTTTGAAGTTCAGAGAGGCAGAATTCAACGTCTTTTAACTGAGTCCTCTTCAACCTTAGTGTCTCCTCCTCTTTCTCACATTTCTAAACCACACACACAAACCACTTAAGTGAAGTCTCATCCATATATCACAGAAACTGAGATAAAAATATTTCTCTAACTAACTTATTAAAATACACTGGGAGATTAATTCTTACTTGCTGAATGTTAGTGAGTCGTTCTTTCATCTTTGCCCAATCTGACTGCATCTTCTCTGATGTCCTCTTAGATCTGCACCTCCCACTCCAGTGGTTAATTTCCTCATCTGTGTCCTTGTCTTTGTCACCCAAAAAACAGTCTGAAAGTCTGAAAGATAAAAAAAAAGGCACAGTATACATGTCTGATATATATTTTCCTTTCCTTTTTAAAAATGAATATAAGACTGCATAGAAAAATACATCATAAGTTTTAAAATGTTGTTCCATTTGGTTTACCTGTAAGTCTCTCTCTTTTTACGCTGAGCTGTACAAGCAGAAGGACTTCTTTTTTGCACATTTCCATAAGAGGATCTGTGGACTTTGCGAACAAAAAAGACAAATTTTTTTGAAGAAAATGGATTAAATTGTTCTTATGTCACTGTGGATAAAAGACTATACAGCCTGATCTATAAAGTCTGATTGTGCTTCACCTGATGTGGATTGAGGTTCACTTTCTTCCTGGGTGGGTGTGTCATAGTCAGTCTGGTTGGTAAAGTAATCATCTGTGCCGGTGACGGACTGAATGAGAGAGCGCCATCCTGCGAGGGGGGGCATTGATGATGTTAACTACAATTTCATACATATTTTTTTGGTACTCATGTTACTAGTATTTTCTTCATGTAAGAGATAGTTTCCAAGCATTTCTTGATTTTTATTTCATTTTTTAGTTTGTGCTGTTAACTCACTGTACAAATGGCTATATTTCAAATGGTGATATTTGATATACAGTACATTTTGTGATTTTAAAATGGAACTTATTTTCCTCCACATTTTCTGCAGTCTCTTACCTGGCCACCTGTGAATGTGCAGTCTGACTTGCTCTGTGCAGACCGAGTCAATGTCACTCGCAATGGACACAGTGTCAAAGCTCCTCACAGGTACTCCTATAAAAGAACAAGCAGCCTACAGTCACTGTTTGCAGTGAACAGATGTCCAAGAGGATTAGTTAGACTGTGCATGCAGATGCAGTGTAATCTGTGTGTGGTACCTGCCAAGCACCTGGCCTGAGGAGAACAGCTGTTGTTGTACTGTAGGTTTTCATGTCCTGTTACAATCTCTGTTTTGTGAGAGACTGAAAGGGAAGTGAAAAGGTGTTACATGGCTGTAATGGGATCAAGAATAAGAGTCTAGAGCCAAACTAGCAGACCTCAAAGGCTACATTAGCTGCAAAAGTGCTGGAATAAACAATATACTGGTACATACAGTATATGTATAAAAAATATACAATATGCACAGAAATTTTTCAAGGCAACATTTTCTATTTTTTTGAGACACCTGACATGCCTTTTGTTCTAAAAGACAAGTCAGAGTTTATAACATCAGTGGGAATAATCCCTGGAGTATGAATATCAGTACCAGTTTAATGTCAACCTGTCAAGTAATTGTGCAGTTAACCTGCTCTGGATCAAAGTGTTGGACACACAGATGGACAGACAGATGGGTGGACGTACCAGCACACAGATGGATAATTTTCATCTTAATCCTCATGTGTTGAAACTAACATCATTAATGAAAATTTGGAGCATGTTTGACGGCTCTTTTTTCTCTCCCAAAGAGATGTAGTGTTGTACTTACTGCTGCTATCATCAACAATTGCCTGTAGTGCTTTTTCACTAATATGCAATATATTTACTCCAAAATCTCCAGAAAGACATTTTTCCAGTTCCTTTCGTTGATCTGGCTTGTTTGACTGGGAACAGTGAGCTGTCACAGTGTATTTACTGCTTTTCCCAGGTGTTGCCGATCCTCTTCTTTTGACGTTAAGAACACTTTGACCTCTTTGATCACTCTGGCAAGTGTCACTGTCGGAAATCTCTGCCCCATCAGCCTCTTCTTCTTTGTCTAGATGTTGCATATTACTCTCTGGCAATGCCAATTCCACCATCTCCTCTCTGAAGCATCTGACAAAGTCCTCAGTGCAGATACTGTCTGAAGGAGGGTGTGTTTCTCCTGCCATCGTATCCCCCTTACAGGTGTCTCCAAGAAGCCTCTCAAGTCTCCAGACGACCTGCTCCCTCCGGGACTCCATTTCCTCTTTGTCTCTTGTCCTTCTGTCTAACCTCTTTTTATTTTCCTGATGAGTGTCAGGACCTCCCCAGCAGTCTGCACTCCTCTCTGGATTAGAACAGTGGAGAGATCGTTATTTGTGTGAAATGAAAAGTTTGTCCTGTTGCACTAAGGAAGCAACACTTTGATATAAACAAATATTACCCAGTTAAGACACCCGGTTTACTCTAATATTAAGCATGTTACTGAACCATTCATACATTTTACTCATTTCATGTTTTGTTTTTTTGAAGCACAAACATTATCTTGAAAAAAAAACTAGTGACCAGCAGTACTGCAAGTTGTTTACCTACAACCTTTTGAGAAAAATTTGACTTAAAAACAATAAGAAATCATATTTTTTCCTGTAATGTTATTGAAATATTACCTGATGTTTGCTCCATCATCGGAGTGTGTATCAAGTCAAGGCAAGACATGGGAGTGTCATTTGTTTGAGTTGTACTACCAAGGCCTGTGTCTTTGCTCAGAGATTGACTCCACTTCAGAGGAGCTAGAAAAAAAACCAACAACACAGATTACCACCTTATATATATTATATATATATGAATGTGGAAGTGTGTCCAAACTTTTGACTGGTGTGTACATATACATTTATCACCTGCATCGCTGCAGTCTTGCTTTCTGAAAATTTCCTGATGTTTCTGGGGTTGGACCTGTATTAATCACATTACTGCTTAAAAAATATTTTCTGATTACACATGCATAAATACAGACAAGCAGAGAGAAAATTGCATACCTGCAGCTGACCAAGCTCTGCATCGATGGCATCTAGGAGGAGGTCACAGTGGTCCAGTTTGAGAAGCTGAGGGTCCAGTCTAAACACACTCCTGTTGTCATTTAGATCTGCGAGGTCAGACAAAAGGTTTAACAATAGTGAGTGCTCACAAGAGAGTGAAGTATATGTATATCATATTTATGTACTGCTGATAAAACCGCAGACCAGTGTGTAGAAGCTCATCAGTGTCCTCTGCGTCTCTCTCATCTCTCTCTGCTCGGCCATGGCCTCTGTCTGCCATGTCCTATTGCTGCAGACAAGTATGCAGAAACTCAGCAATACCATACAGACACAACGTCCACAGTATCTACCAGTGGTGAGGTGGGGGGTTTATGTTGCTCAGTTGTCCAGGAAACCAAGACAATTTAGCTTGTTAGCTGGCCACACTGACTTCTTTTCACTAGGAAGACTATAAATTCCTGTAGCTTGTCTCTCCCAATCCCCAAAATGAATATCAAGTACAAGGGGTGTGCAGCTTAAATTCACTGTAGAAGGATTTTTCCACTCAGTCATGGCTAACGTTCATTTTTGTTAACATAGTGCTGTTAAACTGTATTGTGTTATATTGACATGTTTCTATTATTTTGCCCCCATTTATATCGAGGTTAGTTTAGCTAACGTTAGCCATGACTGAAATGCCTGAAAACAATTGTAAGTAGTAAGCCGTCCTTCGCCGAGGCTACTCAGAATAATTTTCACAGTAATAAGCCGTTATCATTAGTGGATTTTAAAACTTTTCACAGCAAAGTTTCAACACTAACATGAAGACTGACCGAAAACACGCGGTTAACCTAACTAAATCCTGCTCTCATTTACAGGTTGGTAGGTTATCTGAAGATAAAACATTATCACTTTAGAAATCTCTATATCATTCCACCTCAAACATCCATAACTTACTTTGAGGGAACAAACGCAGAGACTTTAAATCGATGCTGTACTCGACTCCTCAGAGCTGAAGCACACAGCTGCTGCACTGAGTCCTGATTGACAGGCGCTTCACTTGGTTGCCCTGGAAACGTTCAAACAGCTCGGGACCCCACACAGGAGAGGTGAGCGTCAGGTGGAGGCGCACTGCCGCAATTTTAGCCCCTTTGGCGCCTATGATTTTAGACTGTAGTAAAGAGTCCATGTGCCCCCGAATACAGCCGCAGCCCTCTGTAGACATCACATCCATGGTAGACACTTTGACCCATAACCAAAAGAGGGGCAGAAAAATTGTCTAAATAATTGTATTTTCTTTACATACTCTCAGATTGCAGTTTATTAGATTGATCAAGATAAAATTAGTGTAGTCTAATCCTGTAATAAACCCTCCCTCCATTAGGATTATAATGTTCACCATCCCAAATTGTCCACCCCATTTACATCAAGGAGGTTAGGGTAACTAAACAGCTCTTTTTATAATGCAATACAGTTCAACAGCAGCACAAATTACATCCTCCAAAATGACCATGAAGTTGAATCAATACCTCTCTGAAACAGTGTCAGCACAAACTAAACATTATAATCTTCATGAAGGAGGATTTATTGCAGGACTGAACTAGTTTTAGCTATGTGTACATACAGCCAGCTGATAGTGTCAGCTGTACAGTTGTAATTTCTGTAAAAAAAAAAAAAAAATTCACCAATTTGAAGATCTATTTGTTCTTCCAAAGAAAAACAGTAGTTCCAGGATGGGACTGCATGTAGTTTGTATGATAACAATAATTATTAAAAAAATTTATATTGTGTTACATTTTATGTGCTACATCAGTGTTAGAGTAAAGACTTTTGTAGATATTAAGATAAAAACCTGTGTCCATCATACTGTCCTGAGTTAATGGCCTTGGTCAGCAGAATTAATAGGAGGTTTAACTCACAGTGCTACATAATATAAGGCCTCTGAAACAAGGTTGAGATTTATTTAAAACCTGTGACAGCTCCTTTAACATATTCACGCCGGGCTTTTTAGGGCTGGAAGTAGTACTAGTGTTACAGTACTACTGGTGTAGTATTGCTCCTATTATTTCTCATAAAGACCGTTTAGGATTTTTTTCTCAAATATGCCCATTAAATTCATCCCATCTTCCAACTCACACTGAAAGAAAGTAAAGCAGAAACACATTCAGTGTCAACAATAACAACTTTATTATCTTCTTTTTTCATTATTGTGTCTTTGTTGTTTAAAGACAATGTTATACGAGTATAAATTAAGGGAGAAAAATACACAATTTAAAAAAAAAAGAAGCAAAACCTCAGTTGAATCTGCAGTAACACCTGAATACACGTTTGTGTATTTGGGAAGTAAGAGTAGTAGTCAAGGCAGGTCAATCACCTTTGACCTCCTGTACCAGGCCGCTGTTGTGATGTGTTTCATAACTTTCATCGAATACAGATTAACATCACCACTGTCTTACAACAAAGCCGTGAGTCACAGTCCAAGGAGAAACAGGGTTCAGTGTAGACAAGGCAAGAAAAATCTCCCCGTCTTCATTAGTTGACCTCTGCCTCAAAACTATATGAGAAGGAAATGTGTGCCATGCATGCACACAAATCAAGCTCATTATGCATACAAACAGTATGAAAACACCAACATAAGAATAATGGCACCCATGAGAAGATAGAAACCAGAAGAGAAAATAAAAGCATAAAAATTAAAGCTAAAAATCACACCATAGTGAATTGAGAGTTGGGTGAGATGAAACGAGAGAAACAATGAGGGGGTTTACATTAGATCCCTCTGAGATAGGGAAGGCAGATGAAGAGTTTTTTTTTTTTTTAAAGTCTACAGTACACTCTCCATTTACACTTTGGTTGTTTTTTCCCCTTTCTGCATGAGGCAGACAACTGTATGAAGCAACAACAGCCATCACCTAACAAATCTACACCTCACAGCGTTATTGCTACAGCTGTCCGAGACTGTACAAGCCCTCAGAGGGGCAACTTCAGTAGGCAAGTCACCATCAAGTACTGAGGTCAAGTTATTTGGAAATATATTGATTAAAACGTATGATGAGCTCTCCATTATCATTCAAAATATAATATGTATTCTCAAATATAAAATCATCTCAAACACAATATATTAAAGTAAATCTCTAGTGAACCTCATATTGATCGCTGAAAAAAGTAAATCCCAAACTAAGTTTCCATTTGTACAGTTTCTTCACCACCACCCAGCAGTGACCTGTGTTCTGTCAGATGTCATGACTGTGCGTGATGATACAGAATTAACTGTACAATGACAATTTCCAAGATGGCAAAAAAAAGAAACATCTTGCTGCAGTAGTGTCCATCCCTATATGTGACACCCATGATATGATTTAAAGTGTCCACAACCTCAATAGCTTGTATTCATGTACGTGCTAATGGAAGTGTTTGAGTCTGTGTGATGCGGATAGACGAGAAGAGAACTCAAGCAGTGAAATAAAATTGAAGGAATCGTTTGACATTTTGGGAAATACACTTATTTGTTTTCTTGTTAAAAGTTAGATGAGAAGATCAATACCACTCTCATGACGATCTGTCGTACGGTAAGGCCAAAGCCAGTAGCTAGTTATCTTAGCTTAACTTAAAGAATGGAAACAAGGAGATAACTAGCCTGGATCCTTTCAGCAAAAAAAAAAAATCCAGCTACAAGCAGCTCTGAAATTGACTAATTAACATCTCATTTGTTTAATTTGTAAAAAACCCAAAGTGTATAGTTGTTGTTTTAAGGGGAGTTATGTGTTAGAGTATTGGTTGACCAGGAGCATTGACTTCCTGAAGATTAAACAAAGAAGATATAATGTGTTATCAGTAGCTTCAGAGGTGCTGCTAAGTGGATTCTTTACTCTTAGACAGAGCCAGGCTAGCTGTTATCCCTGTTTCCAGTCTTTGTGCTAAGCTAAGATAAACAGCTGCTGGTTAAAGCTTGAGAATTTAAAGAGGTATGAATCTTCTCTTAAAGAGATATAAGATGTATTTCCAAAAATGCTAAATTTTTCCTTTTAGCAAGTTGTTCTAAACAAGAGATTTAGTGACTGATCAAACTGTGTTCATGACAACCACAAATCAAAAATGAATCAAAACCTTTTATGGAAATGGGTAAAAGAAGCATCTTTTGTGCAAAAAAACATCAATCATCAATCATTTCATTTCATTAATTCACTGGTAAAGAATCTCACAGATAAACAGTTTACACTTTAAGAGCTCATATTATACTACTGAAAATCTCTATCAGCCAAACACTCAGCATGGAGGGGAACTCTACTGTTAATGAATTTCTTTTCCAGTGCATTTTACACATCTTCATGCCCTCCACATCAGAAGAAATGATAACTGAACCACAGTTACTAATGTGCTAGTATCAAGGACTCTATAAAAATTATTTTCAGTGTGTTAAGACAGTTTATGGAAGTATAAAAGATGAATCTGCAGCCAGATTGCAGGTGCCTCAGGATTAACTTCCATCTTCACAGAATTAATCTGGATTAAAAATTAAAATTACAGCAAATCCTTCAGGCTCATTCAGTCAATTTTTCAAATTTGAACTATGCTGTACAGATAACTTAATACTCTGATTAGTATAATTATTCTTAATTTTTACAATATCATTCTTTTATCACAAAATATTCACACAAATAGACCAGACGGTAGATACAATACCTCCAGCCTTGAATTCTACATTCCTAACAATAATTACAAAAAAATACTAACTGGTTTTGTCACTGTAACTCTTGTCACCGTAGACATGTAGTGCACAGGTCAGAGGACTATTTCCCTTGTTCAGTCAATTAAAGGCAAAAGACTGAGGGTACCTTCGTGAGCTGATCCCAGATCAGCGTGTCCACAAACACTGAATGAAAGAACTACATGTGAGCTCTGGTGAGTCTGGAGCAGCAGCTGGGGGAGTCCTCTGTGGCTAAAGCTGACTGCACAGTGGTGTGTTACAGGAACCAGCCCTGACTTCCTGACCTCAGCTGAAGCCACTGTGAACTCCTATGAGAAACCACTCCAGTCTCACGTAGTGTAGTCCCACTGCAAACATCTGAACTACAAATTAGTGATTGATGGGAGGAGCTAGTGCAATGCACACTATAGGAACCAACATGTTCCTGGATGCACTGGGTGGCAATGACTGATTGTCTCAGTGATTTGGCGCAGACTTAGTACTTTGTACGATCACTGAGAATGATGTCAGTCAAAATGGTCACTAAGGATACAGTATGTGTTGCTATGGGAGAGCACCAGAAGACAAGGTAAAGTCTCAACATCAACATCAACACAGAGATATGTGCTAACCTATGGTCAACCACAGTGAAAAGTGCGTATTCAGGTATTTGATGGAGATTCCTGTTAGAGTGATATGAATGTTTTGAAGTTTAATGTTGTACTGTTGCATTTGCACTAATGTGTTACAACTAAAGGACTGACTACTGTAGAATTTTGCTAATCAGAATCACAAATGGAAGATGTCTGAAGTATGTTTAGATGACTGAAATGCATTAAGCACAGAGGCATTTCATATTCAAAGTATGCAATGGATAAGCCGCCAATATTATCACTACATGGACTACATTCTAACTGACTATTGAACAGACTAATTGCATGTACCTATAGGGAGACCCCTACATTCACAACAAATAAAACATATTAAAACATATTTCTGCATTGCTAAATATTTTACCACTTCAGATAAACCAGCCTCTACCTTATAAGAAGGAGATCATTTGCCCAATCAAAAATAGCTGTTGATTATGGAGACCCAAATAAATAATCATATAAATAAATACAGATAAAGTATATAACTACAATAAAACTGCAATCATATTAATTTGAGAATAAATCATTTTCACACTTAAATTAGTTTATTGCAGTCAGTTGGTTTTCTTTTTAGCAGTTTTTATTTCAAAATGTATTTTTTTCCAAAGTCTGTATTTATTTCATTTATTTTAATTTTCCCAATGACCATTTCATTTGGTAATGTCAATTAGATTAAAGAAAGAGCAAATAATTGGCTCTGCCCTGTTTGTCTTGACTAACAGATAAAGATTTTTTGATAAAAAAAAAGTGGAATTATGGGAAAAAATTAAAGTAACATAGTTGTAATTAAATAAAATGGAAATAAACTCCATTGCTCCTAATAAGCAGCAAGAAATGACATTTTATAAAATGAGTTAATTTCTAAAAATGTAGTTGATTCTTTCACTATTTTATGGTTATATTACATTGTCTGTAGTTATTAATATGGTGATGTTTTTTGTTTTTTTTTAATTTAAAACACTTTGGGTCTCCATAATATTTTACAAAACCTAAGAGACAGAAATTACCAGATATCATACTGAGGCTCTATCTTTAAGCAACCAAAAGGGGCAAATATAAGCACTTGAAATCATTCCTATGAAGAGAAAAGAGGGAACCAATTTAAAATTTATAAAGTAGGCCTAGCATAATCGCAATTGTGCTAAAGAAAACTGAGTATGAGGACACGTTTTTCTTGTAACCACTGAAATACTGATGTGTGCCTCTTTATGATTTTGTCCTGTTAGTTGTCAGTGATAGGGAGTGCACAGGTGCCTTTATTGTGTGATGTTACATCTTCATTATCTCACATCCACACATTACCTCACTGCTGTTTCAGTATAGTGTAAAAGAGGACTACCCAGGGAACGCCCCTTCTTTTAACCCATAGTGAAAACAGAGTGAGAGTGTACATTTGGAGGTACAGTGTAATCCGAGAGTGTGTGAAACATACACATTCTCATGCTCACAAAGGTCCACATAGAGCTCATAAGCCAACTACGCCTGAATGCGTAAGGACCAGAGGCTGAGCAGTTCCCTGTCCGATGAGGTTAGGTGTGATCCGGGGTCAGTTCCTGGGTTAGAAGATGTCAGGACACATGCTCCAGTCTTGTCTGTCTTTTGCCTCCCAGTAACCTCCCTTGTACACAAAGTTTGTTTCGCCAGTGACTGAGTCCCTCCTCTGGTGAAACCACAACGGCTGGTAGCCTTCATATTCTTTACCTGTGGGAAGAAGCACGTGTTACTCAATCTTTATCTCTTAAATGGCACTTTAGTGGAGAAGCCACACTTGCAGGTAATTCACTGAGCGATCAATTCACCTCCACACATACGCATATATGAGAAGCAATCAATCGCTGAGCACTGCATTTGGGATATTGCCAAATGTGAACCGAGCTCTTGTAACAGTGAACAATGTGACCTTGCATCAATAAAATCCAAATAAGTGCGATATGTGTGATGCCAAAGCCTGGATCGATCATGGTAAAGAAGAAAAATATAGTCACAGTTTGGGACCTTTAGAGCCAAATGATCCATCTGTTTCTTAATATAGAAACCCAGCCCAGAAAGGCAATGGTTTAAATGCAGCGCATTAGGCTCCTTGTAGCAAACAGCTCATGTTGTTGTTCTTTACAGTTCCCTTCATAAAAGTATAATGTAAGTATCATTTAAATTGAACAGTTTAAAGTAACTTGTTTACTGTTGGTAAGTGCACCATAAAAGTGCCCACAAGCAGTCCAAGGCCCTGTTCAGAACTGGCATGAACATGCGTCTCGATTGATCTGATCACATGTGGAGAGCTCTGAGTATATCAGTTCACACCCGGCATTAAAATGCGTCTCCACATGCATCTTGAGTGACCATTATATGCAAATAAACACAAATACGTTGTTGTTTTTAGCCAGTCCCACTATAACAGAAGCTTCTGTTGTCAATTTGTTTGTTAGAGAGAGAGAGAGAGAGAGAGAAAGAGAGAGAGAGAGAGCGCGAGAGCGAGAGAGAGCGAGAGAGAGCGAGAGAGAGCGAGAGCGCGAGAGAGAGAGAGAGAGAGAGAGAGAGAGCGCTATGCAGAGCTCTAGGGTGAATTAAGGTTTTAGCCATTTGAAATATAAAATATTTTTGGTTCATTATAAAACTGTGGCGGGACTAATTAAACTGTGGCAGAGGATGTCATTTGAGTTCAATGCGACCCCAGGACGCTTTTGCGTTCACACTGCTAAAAGAATGTGGCCACATGTGGCCCAGACCACGTCCGAATGTGGTCTGAGTGATCAAATCTCAAATGCGTCCTGTACTTAGAGCTGTCCACTTGTGATCAGATCATCTGAGACAGATGTTAATGCCAGGTTTGAACAGGTCCCAAGAGACAGGATGACAGTGCAGTGCAAATGAATCACTTGCTGATGTGGCTTCACCATAACATACTACAAGTACGTATACATTTTAGAGCTATATCTGTTATTACATGTAACATATTATTGAGGCCAGATCTAAATGAAAATGTCACATGTATGCAGGAAAAAGTCTTTTTTTTCCTGAGTCATTATCTGAACAAATTGACATGAGAGGGGTATCATGCAGTTCCCACACAGAGGCAGACCACACAGAGGACACACAGAGGATGGGGTGTGTGTGTGTGTGTGTGTGTGTGTGGGTGTGTGTGTGTGCGTGCGTGCGTTTGTGTGTGTGTGTGGGAGTGATGCACAACAGAGGGGCACAAGGCAACCCCCACTCACCAGAGTCATAATCACACTCTGACCACCAATAGAGGGAGGAAAAGAAAGACAAGTCATGGGTACATCGAATACAGTCTAGCCTACGCACAACACACACACAGGCACAGGAATGCCACCAGGATGAAACGTTTCTGCTGAGTTCTCCATAAAATTCAGTCTGGCTTCTATTACACCAAACTCCTCTTGGTTCTCCTCTGTTAAGTCCTGCCTTCTGACCTGTAATCACTGTTGTACTTACTGGAATAAGCAGTACTACTTGAAATTTAACCATCAAGATCAGGAGACCTTGAGAAATGATCCATGCTAATGAAAGACATCATTTTTATAAGATAAACAGCTTCTGTGTATTCATCATTTAATGTAATGCTGTGGTTTGACGTCTGTCTCGCTGTAATAACTGTCTTAACATGCAGCTGAACACTGCCTATAATGATAAAAATAGCATTCTATGGATAAATATGTGAGGGTTTATTGCAATAGAGTTGCAAAGGGAGGAGTTTAACAATACTACAGATTTATATTGTCATTAGTTTTAATCATTCCTGTCAATTTGGTGTGACAGCTAGCTGTAAATACAACAATGCCCATGAGCCTCAGCTGCCTGTGGAAAAGAAGCTAATTAGAGGAGTGAATCAAAGCCGTTGCAAATCAAAAATGAAATTTTTTTTTTTGGTTCTTGCAACCGGGAACAAAACACTGCACCATAAAAAATAATCTTTATCAGGTTTGGTAAGTGGAAGTTGTTGTTTTTTTTAATCAAAATACTCCTTGGTTTTATCGGTTTCTTCACTTTTGTACTGAATGGGACTTGGGAAGTCCTCCCACTTCACAACTCTACGCCCTTTCCCTCCCTTCTTTCTTTCTTCTTCATCATCCCTGTTTGTCTTTCACTCAGCACCTTTTTGCCTGTCAGACATCACACTTATGTTCTCTATTTCATTTCATACCTTCATCCAGAGCGTCTGAGGCCTCTGCTTCCCTCCTCCTTCTCACAGCTCTTTGTTTCTCCTCTAGCCTCTGTTTTTCTGAGTTTGCTTCATCCCATCGCCCGTCCTCCATCAGCCTCTGGTCTGGTCTCAGACGGCTGTCGGTAAGTCCCACTCCTTCCTCCAGCTCATTCAGGGTCAGTGCCAGCGCAGAGAAGTAGTACATGTTATCAGCGTTCTCCCTGAGAGAGCAAGAGAAGATTTATATTGTGTGATCTTCTACAATCAATGATATTGACTGAATGTTGCAGCTGTTATACAACAACAAGGACTCATTTATTGCAATGTTCTTCCTTATAAGCCTGATGAGACAAGCGCTTACGGGAGAGGGTATTTCTTCCACAGCAGTTTGGGGGACAAAGTCTGATAGACGGTCTTCTGCTTGCCCTCTGATCCACTGCCCCCTCGGCTGCTCTGAATGATCTTGGCACTCTCCATTTTATCATCCCATGTACCGGAGAGGATGTAGTGAGCTTGGCCACCACTGTCTGACACCACACCTGTCACCTGAAAACAGCCAAATGAAATCAGAAAGAGTCATCACATGGATACTAAAAACAATTAAGACACTAAAGCAAGTTATCTCTCTGTGTCTTTATGTATCACCATGGTATTTTCCCCTAATACTTACCAGTTAAATGCACTGTCCTTATGATAGTACATCAGTACATTTTCATAAGCTTATCTAAAATTATTCACTATAAAGGAATGCAGCATTGTGCCCCATTTCTAGGTAATTGCTACGTGATCACTGAGATGTGACCTAATGCAGTGAGCTTCTTCTATATTACACTTCTCTAAGAACTAATATATTTGTTGGGACTGTCCAGCAGGAGGCAGCATCACACAAATTAACCCCACACTGTATGACATCATACCAAGGTCAGGTATCAGCAAAGTGCAAGAAGCAAAGCATTTACCTTCCGTGGAACGTCCCTGGAGAAATAACTGTAGGGAGAGAACTTGAGTTGGCAGGTCTCCTTGGTCCTGTGATTCACAATCTCAATGTCCCCCGACTGCACAAATATAGAAATGTTCAACACAAATGAACGACACAAGAGTGAGAGAGGCAAACACAAAAAGAGAGAATGATAGATACTATTTCACAGTGAGTTTATAGCAGAGAACAACAATCCTGAAGTAAACATGGAAAACAGCAGAACAGACCAGCAAAACTGAAAACTGAAGAGTAAGATGTGACTAATCAGCTAAAGAAAAGATTTGGAATGAGTCCCATTTCCTTCTGATTAGTTCTGTCTGAAAGGCCCTTAAAACCTATTTCCTTCGTCAGCTTCTTGCTCCAGTAAGCAGCCAGAGTAACTAAAGCAGGGGTCCCCAAACTACGGCCCGCGGGCCACATCCGGCCCGCCAAAGCAATTGGAGTGGCCCACTTAACGATCCCAGACAATCCCTCTAAACATCAACCAATTTTTATTAAATTGCATTTTCCTATCATAACATCATAACATATCCGTACTTAAAGGTTGGCATTCTAATTAAAATTGACCATAGTTATGAGCTATTTATAGTTAATAGTGGCTCATCTTCACCTCCTCACACAATGGTATATTCTGACGTGACTTTGATCGTGACCGAGCCAGCGTCAAGCTGCAAAGTTCTGAGGTGGGAATCTGTCATGAAGGTGGTTGTGTCCTGCATAAACTTCATCAGAGCAAACAGACTTAAACACAGGCAGTTCCAAGCCTTTCTCTCCAAGCTAGAATCAGCCCACGGAGACGTGCTTTACCACACTGAAGTCCGCTGGTTAAGCCGGGGCAGAGTTTTCAAGCGTTTTTACGACCTGCTACCCGAAATCAATGCCTTTCTCCTGAGAAAGGGAAAAACTGTCCCAGAGCTGATCGACACAGAATGGAAATGGGACCTCGCCTTTATTAACAGATGTGTCAGAAATTTTAAACGGCCTCAACTTGCAGCTCCAAGGCAAGGGAAAACTAATCTGACATGTATTCCCACATCAAAGTATTTGATCTTAAACTAGCGCTGCTTATTGGACAGGTGCAAAAACAAGACTTCACCCATCTCCCTGCTACTCGAATTATTAACAGATGTGTCAGAAATTTTAAACGGCCTCAACTTGCAGCTCCAAGGCAAGGGAAAACTAATCTGACATGTATTCCCACATCAAAGTATTTGATCTTAAACTAGCGCTGCTTATTGGACAGGTGCAAAAACAAGACTTCACCCATCTCCCTGCTACTC